ACATTGAAAATAACAATTCCCCCCAATGAATGAAAACAGGTTTGTTGTTTGATTAGCACAAGTGACATTCAGGGGCTGAGGCTGCTGCAGCTTTGAGGTTAAACACAACTGACATCAGCTGCACCTGAACTCAATCAGTCCCCTGGCTCTGAGAAGATTCACACGCGAGGACTAAATCTGTCACAAATGGGTTGGTTTCCGATCCTCCTGTAGCCAACTTGCTTGATTCTGACCCCCCTTTAACAAATCAACTTAATGGGCACTGGGAGTGCTATAAAACTTAACAATGGAGTGATTTTTAACTTTTAAAATATAGTTATGAAGCAAAATGTTGGAGAGGTCCTTCAATACTGGAAATCAAATTAAATCGAGACATTTTTTAACAGTCTTGACAGATATAATCCTGGTTACCATGTAAATTTATGGTAAGCTGCTGTGATATTAGCCACAGGTGCTACTTTTAATATATGGCCCGCATCTGGCTGGGAATAAAATTTCTCTGAGGACTGAAAATGACCTCACTATCAGACAATGGAGAAGAAAAAAAAAACCAACACAAGACCACTGTGGCATATAAAAAGCTGGAGATGTGGTCCACGACCAAATATTTAACATAAAATTCATCCCAACTCTGCAGACTGTAGGTTAAAGGATATTATGCCTTCAATACGTAAAAGGTGTGGATGTATTTCAGCCAAACAGGCAAAAGATTAAGTGCATAAAGCAGCAAGGAAATACACTGCCTACATATATAAAGTCAGAATTTCCAATCTTTGATCAACGCAGAAGACAAAGCAACGTGCCAGGAGGAGAAAAAAAGAAGTATGGACCCAGATTACATGACAAGGACTGGCACCAAGTACCAGCATCAAAACAAATAAAGAGTATTCACTGCATGTCTGACCAAATTCATTTGGATGTGTCATTGAGATTGAGGATGATCAATTTAAAGGGGCAAATCTGAACATGTCTCCCTGCAGCTAAAGGAAAATAATTGGCATCTCAATGAGGGGGAAAAAAAGGCATCTACCATAACATGTTCTGTCTGCTTTTTCTTTCCTGGATTTCAAGCAAGAGAGCTAGCAAATTTGGAAAGGAAATGCAAAGTGAGAACAGTAATTTATTTAATAGTTCTAGATTTTTTTTACACATCTTTAAGTAAGTTGTCAAGAAACCCAGAGTCCACAACTGCAAGGAAACACATGCTCCTGCTGCACAAATCCCCCAAAGTGTCTCCTTACTGTCCCCTCCACTCAGGCTCATCTTTTGCCTGTCCCCTGTAGCCCCAAAACATACTTAAAATAGCTTTTAACACTCTTAGAGCATTTGATTTCCTGTCATTTTATAAAATTACATTAGAGCTCTTGCAGAGACTTCCTACGTGAATTCTCTTTTTTAAAAAAACCCAACAACCTTAATTAAAAACTTACCCTATAAAAGCAAGCAGCTGTAAATGCTGAACCTGACCATCAGCAAACATGCCCACCTTGGTAATTTCCTAACTGCATTTGCTGCCTTTGCATGATTGCCTAAGGAAATGCAATCACACAGGCAGTTGCCCCTTAAGCCCTCTGGTCAAACCCAACCAACTTTGACAAGAGACATGGAAGTGGCAGAGTTAAGATGTTCCTGCAGATTTGACAAAAATGAGCAGCTGGGTAAAGGACCCAAATGGAGCACTGGGAGCCCTTTGCAGCCACCTGCTGCCTGCCCAGCCAGGACCTGCCTTCAAACAAACCTATTTTTAAGCCAGGTCTGTCCCCTTTGCAGGATCCCTCCTCCCAAGGTGTACAGACCTGAAATGCAGATTAAATCCCAGGAAACTCCTAAGACACAGGCCAGGACATCGAGGTCCTCAGCAGCCCTTCCCTCCCCTGATGACCAACATTTTGCAATAGTCACGTTTCTGCTGCTTCTGAGTTTGCAGAAGGATAATTGGGAGAAGTTACCAGCATGGTCTGGAGGTGTACATTAACTTTCTAGCCTGATTCCAAATTTTGCCTGGGCAGACTGAAAGCAGAGGGGGCTTGATCCACAGCTGGAAGAGAAACGTTTTGTTTCAGTAGCACAAAGACATGAACTGACACGAGTGTGGCTTCTTGGTGCTACACAGTCACCCCAAAGCCTTTTCTCTTCCCTGCAGACGGGGAAAGAAGCCCTGAACAAGTTCCCTGATGGGGTGTGAGGTTTAGGGAGACTCACCAGCACCCAGATGCATGGCAGGGACATACCCTGTCCAGGACACTGGGACCAGCGTGTGGTGGCACCCACAGCAACACAACCAACAAAGAGATCCCAAGCTGGTTTTCAGCTTAATTCATAGAATGGTACCACCAGAGCCTATTTTCATGAAAATGTATCTTCAGACTAACAAACAGCACCAGCACTTCCAAGTTCTGGGTTACAAACTAGTTCCCTAAGCCAGAAGTGTCATTAGCTTGTCAGCCTGACCAAGGCAGCCCCATCGCTGATCACTTTTAAGTGAGCTAATCTCAGCCTGAAAGCTCCAGGAATCTAAATAACTCTTGTTTCACAGAAGTTTCATTTCATTCTCGGGCTGAAAATAATATACATAAACCAAATTCATGTCTACACATTTGCACGACTTTATAATAAAAGTTGTGTTTATATTCTTAACATCTGTTGACATACACAGACTTTGTAAACCTGGCATAGATTTTACAGCCTCAGAATTTTCCATGCATCATGAACATTATCTGCAAGAAGCAATATAAAAAAAAAAAGCAATGAATACATGAATCATACCAATATCATCTGCAAAGCATAAATCTGAAATACCTTTCATGTCAGCTCAACTACTTTTTTTTCTTTTACACACCTGATTTTACGCCATCTGTAAAAGGGCAGCAGGCGGATCACTGAGGAAATTATATTTCTCAGTCCTAGGAATTTTACTAAATATTCACAATTTAAATAATATAAACAGAATATTTCTTACATGAAATGAAACCTACAAGTTCATTTTTTCATTGTAGGACTAAATTCTCCCAAAGTGTCATGCAGGGACACCTCTGTTTTTGTCATTGGTTCCCTCGGTTGTAATAAACGCAAGATTTACTGATAGTTGTTATAAACCTTCTGAAGCCTCTACTCTCATTTCTGCCTTACCTGACATCCACAAAGGGCACCCAAGAATGAAAGAGATTGTATTAGAATCTCCCAAAAAATTCCAGAGTCTGTATTTTTTCCTCAGAAGTACACTTCCTAAGAGGACATGTACTACAAGTATGAATTTATACTTAATTATTCACTAATAAGCATATTTAATATGCTCAATTTCCTATACTGGCATGTGCTTCATCAATATTAAGAAGACATTAATATCTACCTATGTTCTAAGAAAAATCTACAAGGCCAAAGCAATGGGTTTTCTAGAGATCTGCTCTGGGGACACATGATTTGTCCCTTGAGCTGTCTGTTGGCACACTGCTTAATCCACCTAGTCAAGCTGACTTAGTGCAAACCCACTTTTTAATTAACTTGGGGAAAAAAGGCACTTCTAGTTGTGCTGAACCAACCAAGACTTTGACCAAGTCCCAGAAGAGAGAAGGTTTTGTGAATATTCAAAGCACAAAGGCTGAGAATCTCAGCTCTTCCAAGGGTCACTTCTATCTCATTGGAGTCAAACGTGCTGGTCTCTCCTGGTTGCTCCAGCTCACATCTCACCAAGGTTTCATGTGAGCTCCCTCTCATGGATTTTCCTCCTTTGTTTCCCTCTGTATTATCTGATACGGTTTTATTTGTTCTGCAATGAAATGCAAACCAGGAAAAAAACATGCCTGGGGCTCTGGATGTCCTGCCTGGGCCAGCACCATTCTGCTCATGAGTTGGATTTTCCTGCAGTTGTTTTCTCTTTTCTTTTTGCCCAGCTCAGAGGGGCTGGGAGCACCTCACCCACCTTCTCCCTACTGCCTGGGCTTTCCTTACCCTGGCAGCTACTGTTTGAAATGTTAAAAATAAAATAAAATAAAATAAAATAACAGCATTATAAAATTGTTGTTTATCTACCTCCCTGGGTTTTCCTAAAATAATCTGGGTCTGAGCTCAGGCATAACCATGTAAACAAGCATCTTGCAGCCCAGCTCCTGGTCCCTACACACCAACAAAGCCTGGAGCTCAGTGCATCCCTCCTGCAGCAGGGAAGACAACCAGCCTAGGGAGAGTCTGAACAAACCCTTGGGTTTCCTCTCCCTCCCAGAAAGCACTCACCTCTCCTTCAGAAGTAAAACAGAAGGGAAATGTATGCTCTTGGAATGTGGCTTTTTTTTTTTTTTTTTTAAAAAAAGCAATGTCATAATTCCTCAGAGGGCAATTTTTAGGGGAATTTCGCAGACCTTAAAGCTCAAGATAAGTTCAGGATTTCCAAAGCAAGTTTGTAACTGATGGCCAAGGTAAGTTCCTGTGAGTTAGAGATGTGGCTCAGGATTCTGACTCCAAATAAAAACCCAACGAGGTCTGACCATGCTAAAGGCTTTGTGAGGTCAGCTGTGATTCATCCAAGAATATCCTAACACTGTTTCAGCTTAGAAGGTGAAATGTATCATATTTCCCCCCCTTTATTTGCCAAAAGTTTCTGTTCTTATATTTACTCATTTTTCACAAGATTTCCCTGACAAGAACGAGCCCCACTGTCCATCAGTTAAAGATTTCCAGCATCCATTTATGAGTGCCAGTAACAACAACAACAAAAAAATCAGCATATTATTTGTCTAATCCCACAGCACCAGCCCTGACCTTGACATTAACATTATCATCAATAAATTGTAATACTAGAACAAATCTCCTTAACACCTACAAAACAGAATCAATTTACTTTGCCTAATGAGATCAGAATCAGACTGCAATCTGTCAAGGCAAACCCCAACCCCACAAGGATCCTCCCAAGTTTCTGAATACAAGTATTTTCCCATCAGGATCATATGGAAATTAAAGCAATTACTTTTTCCTTTCTATTAAAAGTGGCATATAACAATAATTACCTGATTAAAATTTTTGAAATGGAACTCTTTGTAGATGGCATCTCTTCCACCTAACTCAGACCAGCCTGAAGCTTTGAGATCCAGTAAAACTTGGCTCCTCTCCTCTGCTGTCAACCAGTGAGACTGTGAAGACTGTTGAGGAAAAAAAAACAACACCCAGACACGACAGGAATGAGGTTGAGGCTCTCTTTTGTGCAGCAAAGAGAAAACCACAGGATGAAATTGTGGTTATGTATTGTGGAAAGGGGTGAGACATTCACTGTATTGTTTCTTACTGTTCATAATTTGAGAGACCAGCATAAGTTAAAACACAATTAAGTTCAGCTCACTGGTTTTGTACAAAACCAGGGAGGAGTAACAGGCTCTTTCACAGGAATGGACGTGGTCCCAGCTCACCTGTACCCATTGGAATTACCCAGATGCTGTGGCAACTGAATTAACGTTCAGACGTTCCACTCTGCCATCTGAATAAAATACTATTTACATTGTAGCTGTACACGTGCAAGGCTAAAACAGTTACCAGGTTAATATCTGTCATTTGAAAGACTGGAGACTGGATTTTACATGATTTGTAGGTTGCTCTTCCTAAGCAAGCAGAAATAGATTCAAAGATGGTGAGCAAAAGGGTTTTCCAAATAACAACGAGAACAAAACTGACAACATGGACACCAGACGTTACAAATGAGTGGTACAAGCACTAGAGCTGCAAAGCACATCTATTTAAATGTCTTCTTTTAAGCAAAAGGGTTTGTTCTGAGGCCACTAACAAATTACACCCCGTGCTTAAATATCTGAGTCGGTGCCTGAGCTGTGTGTGGAGTTGGAGCCAGACCCAGGGACAGAGGAAAGGAGATTTTACATTTCTCCTAAAAGCAGAGACCAGGGGCACAAGTGACTCCTCAGACGACACGTTCTGACAGGTCTCAAACTCCTATGACAAATGCAAAGCTTTTATGGCCAGAACCTTTCCCCTCAGTGGAGCAAAATTCAGATTGCTTCACTCTGGACGCGAGCAGCTCCGTGAGCGCTCCCAGCAGCAGCTCTGCTGCAGAGCCCGGTGCCACCAGATGGGGCTGCGAGCCCGGGGAGAGCAGCAATTAAGGCAATTAACGCTTTGAGATGCGGGATGGCCAGGGAGCAACATTTTCACCGCTCATGAGGGACAGCAAAACCCCCAAACGGCATCAGCAGGGCACACAGCCCCAGAGGTGGGGTTTGCAGATCCGCAGGTGAGACAATTTAGGCTCTTTACGCTCCAAACACAACTCTGGGTTTGCAAAAAGAAAATAAAACCGGACCTGCCGTCGCTATAACCAGCGGCAGGCACCGATTTCTTACGTTCTTCTTTTCCAAGCACGCACAAAAATTGCCACAGCAAGCAGCTTACCCTGAAATGCATCATTCCCCTGACGCGAGGTGAAATTAGGAGGCTAATTTTTAAAAAAACCCCACCACATATGGGACGGTTTGTTGTTTTTCTTCCAGTCCCAGGCTGCAGGCGGGAGGCAGCACAAAGCGCAGCCCCCGGGGCTGGGGCAGGGACCCCCCAGGGACCCCCCAGGGACCCCCCAGGGCTGGCACAGACACCGGGCTGACCCGGCTCGGGGTTACAGCACCGGGGTTCAACAGGGAGCGGGTCAGACGGGGGCCCCGCGCACCCCGAGGCAGCAGCGGGGGCAAAGGGCACGGGCCCCGCGGGACACGCCGAAG